TGGGGTTGGGGTTGGGGTTGGGGTTGGGGGGGGGGGGTATGAGTGCTGAGATACCCTTGATTCTGGTCAACCCAGAGTTCACCTGGAAAGCCTTGAAAACAAAACATAAAAAAAAAATTGAGTAAGATATGGGGAAATTGAAACCTCGCTCTTATTGAATGTGCTTAATTTTTTTTTTTCCTCTTGCGTCTGTGTGACTTTTTTTTTTTTTTTTTTCCCATGTTTTATTACAAATGCTTGTATAAAGTTGCCTTACTGTGTCATCGGCCTGCAGAGTGCGCTCCAGGGATGCGATTATAAGATACGAGTTGAGAAAGGAACCTGATACAACCCCTTTCAAGCACTGTGCTGGCCCAGTGTGGCCTGTAGGGCAACAGCATGCAAGATTAGCTGCCTCCTTATCCAGGCTTCGGCGGAGCGAGAGGCTACGGTCTCGTCAGAGGTCAGAAGACACTGCTTTGGACCCTGAAGCACCTTTCGGCAAGCTTCAGCAGTCTGAAGATCCTCGAGCCGGGTTTCAGTGGATTTCGCTTGAAGCTAATGTTTAACCCGACCAAGATTTAGGATTGTGCTATCAAAATGTTGTTTAACTTTTCTGATGAATTCCGAATTTCTAAGATATGATTGATATCAAGCTGTGCTTGTGTCCCGCGTACCAGCGTGCGACTGGAGCCTGTACTGGTTTTAATTAGCCCCTGGCGCTTCGGGCGGATTACTGGTCCGCTGGTGTGCAGTGCTGGGGTGTGCAAGCCCTAAAGAAGGCAGCCTTGATTGGTTTGGAGATGGAACCAAGATGTCCAGGGTCTGCTGGGAGTGAAGATATTCTTACAAGTGTAAGATTTTTTTTTTTTTTGGTAGAATTTCTCTTGCTGTTAATCTTATTTATTTTTTTGCGGGGACCTCAGTTGCCAAACTTGCGTTTTGTATTGGATTTTGCTCTGCATGAAGAGAAACTCCGTCCCTGCCCCCCATGCCGCCTCCCCCCCTTACTTAAAATGGATTTTTTTTTCTGTTTAGATAACAAGCTGAAGTTTTTTTTTGTCTCTTATCTTTCAGAGACGTGCGGTGGGTCGGTTCTGATCCTTACAGATGCGGGACACGACCCCATGCAAAAATGACAGAATCACTGGCACTGTGTAATTTGTGTACAATTTTTAAATCTACCTTTTTTGTATTTTGTCCCAGCGTGTGTCAAAATGGCTGATATCTGTGCATCTTTATATCCTTACGCCCCTCCCTTTGCATTTCTCAGCCCAAAGATTAGTTTTTGTACGAATATCATTATATATTGTTTATATGTGTGTATAAACTCTCTATGTGATACTGTTGTTATTTCCTGTTCATTTTGAAGCCTTTCAGCCATGTCCCGTGTGTCCCAACTCCTGACTGCAGCCCAGATAAATCAGCGTTGGGGGGGGGGGTTTCCCTCATGATAGTGGACTCTGTTCAGGGATCTTGTAAATGGTTCTAATCGTGGTGTTTTGTGTGGTGTTTTTGTGCTCTGTGTCCACTGCCAGTGCCCTGGATTTTTTTTATCTATGACAATACTTCCCTACGTTGGGGGGGGGGCATGTTTCAGTCACACACACAGGTATGCCATTATTGGACATGCTTTTTTTGGGGGGGGGGGGATTCTTCAGCGTATGGATAATCTGGCGCCCGTCTATACTGCATATGGTGCCTCTGTAATCCAGGCAGATACTTTACACTTCTAAGCAGCACCTGACTGTTTCTCAGTCAGATCTGTGTGTGTGGGGGGGGGGGGGGGGGGGGGGGCAGGCTATTTTATACCCATTTATTCCCTCCCCCTCCCCACTCCATTGCGGTCAAATGTAAGGAACATGTGCTTTTCTCCGCACTCCAGAGGTGGGAAAGGTCAGGTGATGGTGTGCGTATGATCTTTGGAGCTTTCTGAGATAAACCTGCGTCAGAGATCCATCTTCAATGGACTCTCCTGATTTTTCCTTTCCCAGTCCTGCCGTAGAGGGATGAACCCTCCACGATTAGCATACTTGAGAATATTTTGAATTTTAAGCAATATCGGCGAAAAATCCATATCAGGTTTACTGAGAATGGTGTAAATTTTGAATGATGTGGAGTAAATCATTTTCTATGGTATATTTTTTTTATTACTAAGCTCAGAAAAAAAATGTAATTTTTTTTCCCCCCCAAGTAACTTGACATATTTGACAGTCCATGTATCGTAAAGTTTACGTTCTGTTCACTGCTGAGTGTGCCTGAACTTTGTAGTATTGCTGATAACAATGTTCCATAAATATTGCACTGTAAGTCCACTGCAAAAATATTTATTCTCCATGTATATGATTTACGAGTGACTGGGCTTGAACTCGGCGTCCTCCGGCTCGTACGACGAAGGTCCAGAGGGTAACCCCGGATCCCGCCCTCCTTTCCAGCATGCCCCCCCCCCCCCCCCTGCCTTTCGGTCACCGTTTTCATCCTTTCGTCTCGCCTCAAAGCCTCGGTGCGTACGGCACATGTGGATTCTGTTCCTCAAAGTGGGTGGTCTGACAGCTGGGCTCTCCTCCAAAGTCCCTGCTCTCTGGAGATCGGGGATGTCGGTCGGCCTGGAACGCAGCGAGTCGTTCGTGCAAACTACGTGCCAAGGACTACCCTCTCCTCATGACAAATTTTATCCCAACGAGTGTTGTGCACAGTATCACCTTTCTCCACGTATGCTGACTTGACATCATATTATTCTTTAACAAACACTGCGGAAACCCCTGTACATCCTGCTCAAGTGTGAGAAATGTACGTATATATTTATTTCCCCTAGTGGGATGTTATTTTCAATGGGTCTAAGCGGTTTTTTTGCAGTTACTGGTTGCCGGTTTTATTTCCCATAACCACTTATCCAATGCGGGGTTCCTACCCCAGGAAACAGGGCAGCAGGAAGCAGGTTCTCATTGATTGGGGAAGGGGGAGGTTGTCACTCAATCCCAGTCGTGCTTAAACTTTGCGTAGAAAGGTAAGGAACCCTTCTTACTCAGTGGGTTGGGACTCAATTTCATTTTAAGAGCTACCGAAGGATTTCCGCTGGTGATGGCCGGTTTTGGGCCAAAGCAACAACTTAACACGAGGATCTGAGCACGTGCTCATGCATCTTACCCCGCCAGCATCTCCGTATTGCGTGCAAAGTCATGCTTGCTGGGTGGGCTGTTGATAAGCTCAGTGATGGTGGACTGTCCCACCTGAGATTCCCTGAAGTCCTTTCAGGTGCACGGAAAGGAGGTGCACCATTCCCTAAACGTCAAAGGGGCAAAGTCAACCGCCTACTCTTCCTTTGTGGCAGGTCTTAATCGCCTGTTACCCTCCAGGCTACGGTGGATTGACATTGAAGCAGATGTTTGTGATGCAAGTTTGCCTCTTTTTTTTTCTTTTTTTTTTTAACTGATAAAAATTAGAGACTTTCATGCCAGTCTAAATAAAACAGGATAACTGTCCTGGGAAACATACGAACAATGCTCACTCCTTGTGGGGGGGGGGGATGGAAATTAATGCAGTAAGAGAGGCACAACGCAACAATTAGCGTGGCCCCCGGACAAGGATATGACCGACGGGGCTCTGGATGAGGGGGTGGCGGCATTCTGAGAATGCGATACACTTCTAATCGCATTAACGTGCCTTTTCATACCGCTGAGGCCCACATCGCCTCTGGCAAAAGAGGCTCTCCACGCACACACGTATGTCGCTTACAGCCGTCTTTTGTGGTGAGGTCTGTAAGGATACGCTGAGCCATCAGAATCCGAAGACATTAAGCATGTCCACGCTTCTCGCATTGCTGATGAAGTTGTGAGATGTGACGTCTTCCTCGTGAGCGTGTCTGCACGCTTGTTGCCCGCAAGTCGATGTACCAAGTCCACATCCTTCATAACAATGTCCAGGAATATTGTTGGCATTACTATAATTGCACCTCTCCTATTGTGATCGAACAGATTAGCTACCTTCAAAAGAAAATGTAGCTGATTTTCCGAAGTAACCCCTACGGTCACGTGTGGCCTCAAGTTCTGAATGGAGTTTCGCTTTGTATAAGAGGAGCTTTATGATTTCAGCGGCATTTTGACAGCTGTAAGCCATCACGCGGGTTCCTGAACATCTCTCCACGTATCTCCCAAACACTTATCTTGCTGAGGATCACCGAGGTACTGGAGTCCGTCCAAGTCTGAGGAACACTCTGGAAGGGATGTACACAAACGCAGTCATATACTACAGGCAATTTAGAGGCACCAATTAGCCTAACTGCGGGAAGAAACCAGAGTCCCCAGCAAATATCGCCTGCACGCGAAGAACATGCAGACAAGAACATGCAGAACCGAGGCTTGACTCAAACCCCCAACCCCCTGAGGACAACAGCGGCACCCCACTGAGCTAGATTCAACTAGTCCAGTGGTGCTACGCCTCAGAAATTAGCTTCTAGTTTTCTGAAGTACGGTATGCCTCCCAGCAAGTGACATGAAGCTGACTTACGGACGCATAGCAGCAGCCGCTAGCGATCGCCATGGGGTTGCCGTGGATACCCATTCGTGTCTCGTGTCATCCTAGATTGGCTATGGGATCTTTGAATGTTTTGGTCAAAAACATACACCATCAATCCCTAACAGCACAGAGTAACTGCGTCTTTGAGTCAGGGCATATACATCTTAGTAATTGCCTGATGCTTTTAATACGACGTTAAAATGGAGTTTGGCACGGCACGTACGTTTCCACAGTAAACCGTTGTTTATTGCTTACGGGCTGCCTTTGGATGTAAGGTTTGATGAGTGGTGCTAGTCTTACATTAAGTAACGGCTATAGTACATCAGTGTTTAGCCCATCAACGCGTCAGCGGTTTGATTCATCCTCTTCCCGCGCGCATTGTTTACGCTGGAGCCGCGAGCGGCCGGGCCATGCGGCCTCCTTCAAAGGCAGGATCGCTTAGCCTAGCTCTGGGTCTTCGCCAAAAAAGACACAGGCTGCCTCTCTTCCTCTAAGTGGGTTCACACAAAGGTAATTCTGGCTAATTATGTCTAGCTATGTTCACGTTAAAATAATGCCAGAATTGATAACATTCTAGCGACTTCTCTATATAGATGCCAAAAGCAATAGCAGGGCTCTTGAAAGCTAGATAGTTTGTCATCTAATGCGTTATTTGACTATCTGGAGTTAATTTTTGTTTCTGAATTGTGAAAATCATGCCTTAAGTGTGCCGGTTTAGTGTAATATCCGAGTGTCTCTCCCGGTCATGGTTGTAGGATTTCAGTGTAATGTCTGGTCTGTATAACATACCTAGGGTGGTGCAATTAAAGGAATAATGGTACGATATCTTGGCACCTCTGCGTTTGGATGCGGCTGTTAAAAAGGTTTATTGCCAGGCTAAATTTGATACTGGTTGGAGCACAGTCAGGGATATTTAGGGATTTTTTTGTGTCCTGAGTAAGTTTTTGTTTCATTTAGCTTGCCAGACAAAAAGAAACTAGTATGCGATGAACAGTGTAGTAGTGTTTTGCTTAGTAAATGTATGATGAACCGTCTAATCTATTACACAAAATGTGTACTTTTTATAATTCAGATAAACGGCTTAGTTCGGTAAATCGAGTACCTCGGAGTCCAGGGGTCTGTAGACTCTATCCATGTTGTCCCTGTGCATAATGCCTCTAGACGGAGGGGGGGCTGGTTTCCTTGTTTCACGGAGGAATGCCGTGAGAAATGGATCGCCATGTGACCTCGTCGCACATACGTGCGCGCGTAGGGGGTGGCTGCCTCTCCCCTACCCCCACCCCCCCACCAAGTAATCCACATCACGCTTCTCCTTTGCCGCCCAACACCTGTTCATTACTCCACAAATCCTCCCCAGACCCAATTAAAGGAGCCACAAGAAGTCAAACCCGGGGGCTTTGAACGGAGCCGACTGGGACGCGACGAGGACAGACGAGTCCGAGGGGACGCTGTGCTTTCTTGCCGTGGCCTCGCCGCTAATTGGCGGTTAGAATGTGCGCGTATGTGTGTGTGTGTGTGTGTGTGTGTGTGTATAGATGACCGACCTGCCTGTAACCCTCTCCATCCTCCCAGCTGCTGTCTGTTCCTCCAGGATATTTATAAACCGAATATCGCTGGAAACCCCGCGTACGGATTTTCGTTCCAGTTTGTTTAGTTTCCCCCGCTGCGAGATTTCTTGGCTGGGGCTTCTAAGGACACCGCTCTCCTTTTCAGCCCAGCTCTGCCCATCCCTCATTGTGCAGAGGCGGGCCGGACCGACTCCCGGGTCGTCCTCAGTGGCAGCGCCGGCATGGGATAAACCCGGAGGAGACAGGCCTGCAGCGGGGG